CGGCCCTTGGGGGGCCACGATGAATCAAGTAACTCATAACTTCTGGTGCTCTTCTCATGGATCGGATGCAAGCGTTATGTTGCACAGTAACTGACCACCATCCAAAGCACGCGCCGAACAGTGAAAGATGGCATCAAAGAAGTGCAGAATACTTTACCAGGCTACTAACTTTAGTAGCATCGATTTCAAGATGTAGCGTTTGAAAAAAGAGGGACACGCTTGGCGCGAGAAAGATTTTAGAAACACGAATTAAGTGACATTTCGGATTGAAGAATCCTGATTTCTAAACTTACCTTATTACAATAGTTTTGGCTAACTTCTCAACAGACGCAGAAGTGAAAATGATAGGCTCCTCTTATGGGAAAAAATTAGGGTTCTTTTCCGTATACAAATTAACTGCTAATTTAAAATTAAATCTAAAACTTCAGACAGACCATCCGATGTGACTGAACAAACTGAAGGTAAAACTTCACAAGCAAAAAGCGCATTGTGGATGTAGTTCCGGGAAAACTGTCGCGAGTTCAGAACCTTGCTTTTTTTCAATACTGCCAGAGATTTTCGATAATTTCAACAAATAGGCAAGTAATTTTTATTTTTTATCCAAACCGTCCAAGAAATAGTTGGATGTTTTGCAATCACTTTCATTACAGTTTTGAGAACTCAAAAAAACTGTGGTTAAGAGTTGGCAGTGTGCCAAAGTGCCAAGGCGACCCAAGACCGCCAAGAAGATCAACAACAACAGGATCCACAGCAAATAAAAGACATTGATTCGCAATAAAATGGCGAAAGGAGGAGTATAGAGGAACAATTGTTAATTTTACTCATATTATTCAGAAGAAAATCGTGTGTAACTGTAGAAATTCGACTGTTGCTGTTTAGGAGTGCGTGCTTGCGTGAACAAGTAGTTTAGGAGCTGAAACGTGTGGAATCTCTGCCCAAAGCACCATGCTGGGTAATGAATATTTGAAAGCAACTGTCATGCTTACAGCTACTAACATGACCCCACAACTTTACCATTTGTTAAAAGCAAATGACCACATCCACGCGTCTCACTACGCAATGATTCCTCGTTCAATATATTTTGTTTACGGTTCTGCGCTTTGGAAGCAGACTTGATGCGTTTTTCGTACACCAGTATTAGATATGATTGTACTTTGGAATCGAAGTCGTCCTCCTGACAGGAGTAATGCGCTTACTCATCAAGTTTAGAGAAAGAAGAATGTCAATGGTGACCTAAGGAATTATTAGCACCGACTATGTCGTCAACGTCAGGGTGATACAGATAGCTTGACGAGATCAGGCAAAAGTACATGGCTAGATGTGGCGGCTCATTATATGATTTAGTCACGCTTTCACCCGGTTCTCACAGTTATACAGCAAAGGAAGGGCAATCCGCGACTGAAAGTTCTCGTGCAAGAACCCTTTTGCTTAACAGAACACTATTGAGACTGATAGGAACAGTTGATATCAAGCGTTAGAAAATTATCCGGCACGCTGAATTTCGTTTCAACTGAAACGTTAATCGAGTTTTGCGCAACACATTCACTTGAAGAATACCATAAACAAGTTATTCCGCAGACCTCAACACCGTTCAAATGGGCGTCTATCTACGCAAAACCCGTTTTAATTTAACATAAATTTGTTACGATACTAGCTATAAGAACCATCCAGCTGTAATGCCTTTTCGGTACACAGCTCACATGCCAACCGAAGAGAGCGCGAGGTTGCCCAAGCCTAGACAGGAGCAGTCGAAATGCCGAAGTTGGGCTGGAACCACAGACTTTCCGGTCAGTAAGTTTGCACCCTAACCACTAAGGTGCCCCAAACCAGTAATTTTGACTGATCCATTCGTATACGAAAGCCCATGTGATGCACATTGTGCGCAGGAAGTAATATGGCATTAAATACAAGGAACACCACTGAGTGTTTAGATCCAGCGTTTCTCAAATGATAATGAAATCAAAAACCAACGAACAAGCAAACTGTTGTTGGAGCGATCCAAAATTGTGCTCACCAGGTAAGCTCCAGCAGGGTGAAACGGACAGCGAGTGAATTTTATGAAATCTTTCCGTGCTACTTATATCAAAGCCAGGGACAAGGTAGTCTTAATCGATAATAGGTGTAAAGAATTCCAAAAATCCCATCCAAAGTGAGTTTATTCATCTGTAGGTGAGTGCTGACCTGCAGCCGCTTTACTAGGACTGTTTTGCCATCACACTTGGTTTGCAAGAACGAATGAGTGCGAACGTTCGCACTGAATGCTACTGAACGGTTTTGAATCCGTTCAGGCCAATCCAAGTAGTTTTTTTCTGAACGCCTTTTCTTCACATTTCTGACAGCTTTCTCAAAGAACATAACTGTCGTCTTCAATCCATAGTCATGGATTTACAAGTGATTTTGAATAAGGTACTAAGAAGCATGCCAATAAACGTTGCTGTTTCAGACCCGTCAGGTGTGCAGATTACACTCCCAACCGAGTACACAATCAATCAATTCAATTTATCAACTACAAACCGTGTGCCATAGACACATTGGTTCCAGCTGCTACAGTTTCGACCACCGGAAAACAGGAGAGTGCAGCATACAACCAGGCCTTGGAGGAGAGGGCATGTTGTTTGTTCGGAAATTAGGTAATTACGCACTGAAGACGATAGCCTTGATGCACGGGCGCCACTGACTGCCCGATTAGGCCGTTTCCGCCAATGTCAAACACCACTGGTGAGTTGAGTTCCGGGGTTCCATCCAGGGAGGCGGCAGTTGCCTACCCGACTAATTTTACTGGTTAGTGTTTTCGTACTTCGTTGCCAGGTCAGACAATGTCCACCTCTCGGTCACTTCCACTCAGCACAGGGCTGGGAGAAAAAGCTGTGTGAGGCAGATGGTCTTCTGAAATGCTGAGTACATGTCCCAACCAGCGCAGTCTATGAAGCGTAATTCATCTATCGCGGGAGAGTTCCTTCTTCCTAAAACCATCTGGCCTACTTCAGCATTACTAATCCGATGTTCCCACCGGACCTGGCCAATGCTGCGGAGACACTGATGATCAAACACTGACATCTTTGGTATGTCCTCTGCGCGTAGGGGTCACGTCTGTAATCCATAAAGCAGTGTGGATGGCACCACTGCAGTGTAAGCTATGCCCTTGACAGACGAACTGACGTCAACGACGGCGCCGTAAATGTCGGAGATCGGTAAAAGATGCCCTGGCCTCTCCGACTCGAGAAATAATCTCATCTCCAGCCAGTCCACCGGGATGTATACAGCTGCCCAGGTAAACAAATTCATCTACCACGTCGATTGGTTAACCTGCATGCATGATGTGTGGGTTTGATCCTACCCAGTCTTGTAGCAGCACTTTACACTTTGCAGATGTGAAGCGACGCCGAACCACTTTACACTTTGCAGATGTGAAGCGCACGCCGAACCGTGCGCAGGGTTATTTAGGTTATTTAAAATCATTTGCATTTGGGAAGGATATGAACCAAGGAGAGCAATATCGTCCGTATACTCAATGTCTGTGAAGAACGTCCCGGGAGCATTTCGACTCCCGAGATTTCAGAAGGAGGCAGAAAAATTTCAAGCAGCATATCAATAACAAAGTTAAAGAGGAAAGAGGAAGTCCTTGTCTTACACTCCTGAACGTGGCGAACTCACGCGAGAGCTCCTCGTATACTCGTACGAGCCCATAAGAGCTCGCATACAGTGCCCTCATAAGAGAGAAATTTGGAAGGGACACCTTTGACCGCTAGACACTGTCAAAGCTGCTGACGATCGACGGAATCAGAAGCAACTTTCAAATCAAGAAAAACGACAAACGTGGGACTTCTGAAGGGTGGCTCTGCTCAAGAATTTGTCTCTTCGTAAAGATATTTTCGATGCACCCTCGACCAGAGCGAAACCCAGCTTGATTCCCACGAATCTGTTGCTCCCGATAATCCATCAAACTGCGCAAAATAATGCCAGAGAGCACTTTAGATGCGACGGATACCAGGCTGATGGTCTTCACATGAAGTTCTTGCTCCCTTTTGAAAACTGAGATGACGGTTCAGGAGATCCATTCGGCTGTTTTCGTTCCAAATCTTCTGCAGTATGGTTGTCAAATTGTACACCAGGACCTCCCCACCTTTTTTGATGAGCGCGGGGTGTAGATCATCCGGGCCAGGTACATTGTCACGCTTCATGATTGAAATCTCACGCTTTGTTGGTGATGGGCTGTTGTGGATGTTCCATTCAGTCTCAGTGGGTTCTTCCAACGGTTGTGTTGAAGGAGACGAGGTGAATTGATCTTTGAAGTGCTCAGCACACCGCTCAAGACGGCGATTGAGAAAATGAATTGCTGTTCCGTCTTTTTCACACATTGTCTCACTGACACCTGTCTTTTTTTGACCCGTTGATCGGATCAGTTGAACCAGGGCGCGGCCGTTGCAGGCAGTGAAAGTCTTCTCCATCTCACGGGCCTCCGAGATCCACCAGCGTTCTCTGTCATTCTTCAAGCTCCTGATCATCCGGTGTTTGAGGGACTTGCGTGCGCCATCATAGTCGTCAGTTGCTGGTATGATCTTTCTGGCATCAATATGATCTGCTGATCCTAAAGAAATCCAGTGTTCATTGAGTCGAGTCAAATGGGTTGGACAATCAGTTCTGAAAACTGATAGCATTGTTTCTTTAACTCGCCTCATCCTCCAAGTAATCTTCGTCGTCTATTTGACTGCGTTTCTCGTAGCTTTCTAGTCAGATCAGCTCGACACTCTTCAACTACTGAAACTTGTCGAAATTGATGAACGGGGCTGCTCTCTTTCGGCAGGTGGGGCGAGATGGCTTAATTTGTTGGAGGGCGAATTTACTGACCGGGAGGGCCATGGTTCGAACCCGATTTCTGTCCCTCGACTTCCCCTGTCTATGCTTGGGCGACCTGGCAGTAACCCTCGTGCTTCCTTCGGGTGGCATGGCATCTAGGCACCGGAAGGCTGTTACAGCTGGACGACTTTTTTCTCTCTCAGGACGCGTAGTGCTGGTGGAAAAGGAAGTGCTAAGCGGGCCCGCACGATGGCGTGATGAGTTAAGTTGCGTACCCCAGAAGGAACGACTATCTTTTGGATCTCCATCGGCAACTGATAGCTATATGGTCCCAGTGAGTCCACGACTGTTTTGTGGTAGGTCGCCTTCAAGTAACCCGATGTGTCCGTTTGGGTTGGGAGTTCGTATTAACCAGAAACAGACGATGATCTGCACACAACTGAAGAAACTGCTCTCTGTTATCCGTACGCTCAGCATTGACTCCAAATCGACAACCTAAATGTGCTTCTTTCGTCCAACTTGGGCATTCATATCGCCAGCCAGGATTACTATATCCGTCGTTCTTGCAAACTGAAGCAGTTGTGACAGATCTTAATAGAACTCGTCCTTCTCAGTCTCAGAACTACTATCTGTTGGGGCATATGCTCACATGACAAACAAACACCGTTTACCGCATTGACCTGCGCTAATTTTAATTGAGCCAGAAAACTACACAGCGCAAAGGTGACTGTTTACTGGGATCCAGTCCAGTAAGGCACTTTCTGCCTGGGGCTGAGGCTGTTTACTGGGATCCAGTCCAGTAAGGCACTTTCTGCCTTGGGGCTGAGTGCAACTCCCACATCGTAGATACCACGAGCCATTGCGTCAGAATCACCGGATACCCAAAAAGTGAAATGTGGAACAACTGGGCTCGTTCTGAGCGGTTTGAAGAGAACGTTTGAAGTGGGGTCTCGTATGCGTGTTTCGGAGACACAACGTACATCGATAGAGAGGGAAAGTAAGGTTTCGGCAAGGGATGGTTGTTGCCTAATTTGACATAGAGTACGGACATTGAAGGCTGCAATGTAAATCAGATCTTTTGGGGTTGGCAAGTGATTGTTTTGGTTTATTTTTTTGAGCGAATGTTTAGATACGGAGTAGTGGCTAGAGAACTGGTAGATGAGTTGGTTGCACTGTACTGCACGATGGGTGGGGAGGGAATGAGGGAGAACGCCGGTGAGCGAAGAGCTGCAAGGGCGAATGATACTTCCTGATTGCCCAGGCCGAAGAAGGGGATTTAGTTGAGGTACCCCACCTTCAACCTTTGACACTGCCTTGATCCACAAGGCAGTGGGAGGATGTAGGGTTTTGTTCGGGGACCCTGAACTTAGTCTCTCACTCAAGAGTCTAGACGGCAAGACAGCGGTTGTTAGGGTTTTCTTGGGGGACCCTTCCCGAATCCAAGGACTCCATAGTCCGACCTACCTGGATGTAGAGGGCCAGTCTGGCCCGAGGAGGCAGGGAATAGAACATTATTGTCTCACTTTTGATACGGCTGTGCACAGCAGGTGCCTTTTGAGCAGCACCAGACTCTGGTTTGAAGAGTATTTCAACTGTATTGAATAATGCGCCGGCGGTCACGGTTAACCGATGGGTGATCGGAGTGTGTGAATTTTTGGGCCGACCATTTCTAACTCGTCCTTCCTCGGAGGAAGGCAGCATCGCTGCTTCCATAAGTATGGACATGCTGGCCGCCTGGGGGGAACATTTTACTGCCTCCACACTCCTATCGCAGAGGACAGTACGACTTTACTCCCAGACCGCCTCGTAGCACGATTACTCGTAGTTCGGGGTCTCGCTGCTCTTGGTCTGGCTGCTCCCCTTTGGCCTTCCTGGCATGGTTGCACCTTGTGGAACGAAATTCCAGCCAGTATAGCCCGACCACCACGACAAGGTGGCAGCTTTAGGTCGGGATCTTCTACGATAGCTCTAAAGAAACCGCATAAACGATCTCAGTGCAAGAGACTCCTACGGAACAAATCGGGTCTTTTGATACATGTAATATCAGACATCTGTTCTGAGGACATAAAAAACTGGGAGTGACCTTAATTCTACATAACACACGGAGCTGAATGAGAGATGATAACGGTCATGATTGTTTAGCCGCAAAAACCATTTGATACTTAGCTCCCATGCCATCCGCAAGAAGCACGAGGGCTGGGATATTGCCACGTTATGCACGCCTAGATAAGAGTAGTCAACATATCAAGGTTGAGTTCGAACCAGAGAATTTCCGTAAATTCGCTGGGTTGTATATTTTGTTCATTCACTCGCTGCTTCGATTAGAGCCTTTGCCAAATTAGGTGACTGTTAGGATGGGTTCAACGGCTAACGAAAATGACGTCTGGTTTTTATCATCTGGAAAACTTGAGCTGTCTTCAGAGGCTAGATTTAGTTTCAATGCCTTGCGAGACCTGTACCTGGAGAACACAGAGAAAAATTGGGTATGAAGCCGGGAATTTTTACTTTCGAAGAAATATTTAAGGCTGTTTTTGAAGGCTGCTTGGATCCAGGGACTGTGCCATCCCAGTTGGGCATCTTGACAACATAAGTAAATATGCCGAACAGCAGCACGAGAGCATTTGTCTCATCAGAAGTGTGCTTTAAACTTCTATTTCTCTTGCTTATTTTCACACATCCTTCACCCTGAAATCTGCAAATTGCTCCAGTGTGGTACTGGCTAGCAACCTAAACAACACAATAGGATCAACTGGTATACCTTACCCTAATGTCGAATACAGGGGCCACACAAGTAATAAACAGATTGTTGGAAAATCCCGATCCAACCCCCCTCCCCACGAACGCACTGGAAAAACAGAGATTGCTCGAAATGATTGGGCAGAAATCCCCACTGCACGGAAGAGTGGTAGAAATCTGTCGCCGATAAGGAAAACCTCTCTGTATCACCGAAACAGGTTGTTAGTTCCAAGTCCGTGTGCACAGAAAAGAGAGCGTTGAGATCAGATAGAGTTTGGTTTAGATCCCATACCCCCAGATTCCAACAATTACAAAGAGGATCAAATGGGTAGAAATAAGGTGGAACGGATTTATCCCTGTTCTTCAGAGTAAGGACCCGAAGTCACAATCCCTTGGGCTACTAAATATAAGGGTGAGTGGGCTAGTGACAAATCTAAACACACGGTTAAAAATCGTCATCATCAGCATCACAAAGAGCAATATCAGTGTTGACACTGATGGTTGACTATCGTGGAATCACAAAGTTTAAGTATATTGAAGTATTCCTAAAAGAGGTGAAAAAAGTGGAAGAGGGAAACTAACGCTAACCCACCGAAAGCATCGCGAAGTGTCTGCGGCTCCGAGCGGTCAGTCAGAAAACATTGAAACCACGCCACTAACATCGACTACCAGACGTTTCGCGCAATCTTTCCGACCACGCACAGGGGAGCACAGGGACCATATACTACAGGGCGGACCGCACCAACAACACAAAAACCCTTCGCAATCTCTCTCTCACACCCTCCTATCACGCTCCACGTTGTCCATCTCACAGTTTGCGCAATTCTGAAGGAGGGACAGAGAATAACGCTCGTCCCGGCAGACTTTGTCGCATGCGTAGAATGTGGCCAAACCACAGTAGTTGATTCTGATAGACATTTCCGCAACTGAAGCACCTGCTGCAAAAGCATATACCCGTTATCTAATTGCCTCGTTCATTCACATCCAACACAACGATGACCAAAAACAGTATTCTTCTGCTCAGTATGGTCGATAGACAGCTCCGGGGGGAGATGTGTGGGTAATGAATTACCTAAATACCTCGCACATCAACCACTGAGCTACTTCAAACTAACGAGGGCCAGATGGTTAACAACCTTTAGATGTGAAATAACCAGCTGAAACCATCACTTGGCTCTTGGAGACTGTATAAAATGGTTCTGGGAAACGGAAAGTCTCCATGTGAATTGAAGAATGCGGTTCTTAACCTAGTTTTAAAAATTAGCAGGATGTGTCGGAATGCGCCGGTTTGTGAAGCGCTACATAAAACTATAAATATTATCACTCGGCGGCTACAATACGATCCGAACAGGAAGGAAAGGATGCGTGCCCGTTATTTTGGAAGTCGCCATAACCGCTCGTGTGTGACCAACCTCCTGGTTGCAAGAGCAAGATGGGTTTCTGCTAAAGCTGCCGAACACGTGTCGGCGTGATATACATCAACTTCAATAAAGCGTCCGAAAAGGTTGCCAGGAGGAGACCGCAACAAAAATAGTTGCTTATGTAGTTGGTGGTGACATGCTTTATTGTACGCAGTCTTCCTAGCTGGCCAGAGATAGTCTGAAAATACACGGACAGTCATTTTAAGGTACAGCAGATGCCAATGGTGTCCCACAATGCTCTGTCCTAGGTTCAGTGTTGTTTCTTGTCTACGTAGTTGAGATATTGTGATCACCCTGCCTAGACTATGAGGATGAGAAAGAAATGTGATGGGGTTCAGTTCAGATAATCAGCTGCAAACTGTGCTGCAGTGGAACACTTGTTCCGGCTACTGCAGTTGTGGTAGAGATAGCTTTCAAACACAAGCACCACTGACTGCACCGTTGAGCCATGTGCGCCAGCGTCGTTAACCACTAGTAGATAGAGTCCCAGGGTTCCCACTTAGGGAGATGGCAGCTGTCGACCCGACTGAACTTACTGGTTAGTGCTTTCGTACTTCGTTGCCAGTCGTTTCTACTCAGTATATGTCCGGACGAAAAGAGCCCCGATAGGCCGACAGAATACATATCCTAACCAGCGTAATCTACGAAACACGAATAACCCATCCACTGCGAGTTCCTTCTTCGTAAAACCTCGTACCTCAGTATGTCAGTATGATACTCCTACCAGACCCGACCAACAATTCGCAGCGATTATCAAACACTGACAGCTTTCGTATGTCTTCTGCTCATAACGCAATGTTTTTGAGTCATAAAACAATATGGATCGCACCTCTGCAGTGTACACCCCACCCCTGACAGAAAAACCTACGTCACCCTGGCGCAACAGCTGTCCCGGTCTTCTCGATTTGACAAGCTCGTCTTCGGCCAGTCTAGCGGAACTTATACCTACTCAAGTGACGAGAGGACTCAGTAGTTAAAGTGCGAATTTACTGACCAGAAAGTACGTGATTCGAACCCGATCTCACCTCTCGACTTCTCCTGTCTAGGCTTGGGCAACCTGGCAGTATCCCACCCCTCGTGCTTCCTTTGGATGGCATGGCAGCTAGGCACCGAAATGAACGATTATATACTCAGGAGAACAAACGAACCTACCGCAACTGGCTGGTCTGCAAGGACGAGGTCTGGAGTTGATCGCACCT